GCGCTGCGAACCTGGCGAGCCAGGTTCGATTCCCGCTCATGGCCAACACTAGTGACGATTATCTGAATCGGTCCTGGGCGTCCCATAGGTCGACTAAGCCTAAAATGAGTACATGGTGTGATGTATTAACATCGCCACTTTGGAGACAAAGGCCACCGGGCGTGGTGTTGGCCACCCACCCCCTCCTGTGCCGTGTCGCCCTTCATCGGTTCTCGCTAACAGTACTTGCCCCAACAGTCTGTTAAGGCTATACAGGGGATCTTTCTTTTGTCTTTGTAGGTTCCTAAGGATTGTGGGTACCCACAACACGGTGAACCGGGTGTTCCACGTGGTGGCATTTGAGTGCATGTTTACGAACCGCCCCTTTGTGCTGGACGGTGGCCTTGTCGGTAAGTGGTTCTTCTCACCGTTCCCCTTACTGTTCTGTGAAGCTGAATGCTGGAGTTGAGTAACATTGGTGGTGTGGCATTGCTATATTAGAGTTGCGTTTGCTGTAATGGTGTCGTGATGCTGTGCTATAAAGGCGGTCACTGGATACTGCATTTCAAGCGGGGATGTATGCATTTATATCAGCTCTATGCTACCTGCCTGTCTACCGTGGGATCCCCTTGCATGCTTGCGTGTGTAGTTCCCCAGGAGAATGTGGCTACGATTGTGGCCAGTGCCAGCGTAATCGAGGGGGTGAGCCGCAGCCGCAACGCTCTGCTCAACGGGGACACGCGCCACTACGACTGGGACTGTGGCTACACGTGCCACCAGCTTGGCTCCGGGGCCATCGTGGTGCAGCTGGCCCAGCCCTACATCATTGGCTCCATGCGGTGTGTGCAGGCAGTGTCTGCTGGTGGGGTGTGTGTGGCTGACGTGTGGGCATTGCGTGTGGTTTGTGTGTGTGTGTGCGGTTGGTGTGGGTTGTCGCCTAGCAGTTCGTGTGTTACACTACGAACCCGGCGACCTGAGTTAGATTCCCGCTCAAGGCCAACACCAGTGACGATTCTCTGAACCAATCCTCGCCCTCCCTTAGGTGGAATCGGCCTCAAATGAGTGCCTGGTGTGGTGTGTGAACATCGCCACTAGGAAGACAAAAGTAGCCGAGTGTGGTGCAGCCCACCCACCTCCCCTGTGCCGGCCTTAATAGGTGCTCACGAACAACACTTGTTCCATCAGTCTCTTTTTGGTGTGTGCAGGAATAATGTGCAGGCAACGTGTGCGAGTGGTGAATAGGCAGTGTGTGTGTAGGTGGTGCGTGGGCAGGGTTGTGTGGTGTTCATGATGTGTTACCCGTTACTTTGTTACAGTTGGCCATAGTTACATTGTGCGAGTCCATTTCTACATAACCCATACATGTGTTGATAACATGTGGCTCTTCGTGCTGGCTGCAGGCTGCTGCTCTGGGATTGTGATGATCGAAGTTACAGCTTCTACGTGGAGGTATCGACCGAGCAACAGACCTGGCACCGTGTGGCTGACCGTACCAAGCAGGCGTGCAGGTAACTAGCACGGTGCCAGCACATACACGGTTCGGGCGCTCTCTCTTGAGTGTTCTTTAGCTTACCCGCCAGTCACTGCAGGTACTTTCCCAGGATGCTTCCAGCATTCTTTGTTTTTAGCACTCCCACCTCTGCTTCCACCTGCTAGAAAACACCAAAGGCAACACGTACTCACTAATGCTGTTAATTCTTGACTTAAAGCTTTCGTGACTGCAGGAATTCATACTCTTTTGGTCTTTCGAAATACACAAAAAGAATGCTGTTAATGTTGTTGCATTGCTAAGACTGAATTGCTCATAGGCTTATCTGGTGAAATATTTCTTGTTTTAATTTGTTACTCTTTTTTTGCTCGTGTGCCTTTAGGTCATGGCAAACCATTACCTTTGACAAACGTCCGGTGTCATTCATCCGTATTGTGGGCACCCACAACACTGCCAATGAGGTAATGGTACAGCTGCTCCGTGTAGGAATTTACACTCGCGTTAATACCCTTGTTTCTGTGATGTATCTGCCTCATGTTTTAACAATGGTCATATTGTTTTGTTTACGACCACTATCTTTTCAGTCGTTTTTTTAGAGTAATCATGCCTCTTGTATGCCTTGCTGCGTGTGGTACGCCCGCCGCACCACGTGTCTGTGTCGTGCGTACGTGTGTGTGTGTGGGGCTTCGGGCAGGTATTCCACTGCGTGCACTTTGAGTGCCCTGCAAGCGTCGGTCCCTACGAGGAGGATGGAGTGGGTGACAACTTGGAACACACTGGCGAAGCGGAAGGGTTGAGGGGTTCTTTGGGGAGGGTGCGGGGAGGCGACGGCGGCGCGCAGGGCTTGCCCAACGTGTACTCGGCCCAGCCGGCGCTTCTACCGGACACCTCTCCTCCTGGAGGTCCCGCAGCCCCTGCCCATCCGGCCGCAGATTTAAGCGTATTGGCCAGCTCGGTCTTGCCTGGGGCAGCGCAGGTGGAGAGCAGCGGGGGCAGCCGGCCCTCCTCCCCACTGGGGCATGCCGGGCACCCTGGGCCCCCGGCCTCACTGTCGGGGTCTTCCCAGGCCGGCTCGTCTCACTCGGCACCGTCACGGCGCTGGCGCTACTGAGCAGATGTCCCTGCCTCGCGGTGGCTCGCGCCCACGGTTGGGGAACACGTTGGGCACTTTTAGTCGCTCGCGGGTCAAGTCCAAAGGAAGACGATTATGAAATGAAATATTGTCTGCATGCATTCCTCCTGCATGGTTTCCCCGTTTGCATTCGAATGAAACAGCGTCTCGAATGGTCACCACAGAGTACATATCATTCAGTCAGTATTCTACTACAGAGAAAGCATAAGAATGTTAATATATTTGTTACCCTGAGCATCGCTACCTGAATTTTAGGACGCTGGTAAGCGGATTTGCCTGTCCCTCGGGTTGGCAGCCACGGCAGTTGTGCTTCTCTCGGTTCACGTGCGGTGATTGCGGTTCCCCATGAGCGTTGTGGAAAGCCACTCCAAAAGTTTGCACAAGTCCTGCTTTGTTTTATGTTCGGAGTTTAAAGCATAGGCTGAAGGCTGGCCTTTAGAGGTTTGTGTAAACTGTAAAAAAGAAGTGTGAACTATAAAGGTGTTCTTGTGAAGAAGTATAAAAGAGGTTCATGTAGAATATAAAGTCCTCTAGCTGAGCTCGCCGTGTGGCTAGTCTCGCACGACCTGATGCTGCCTCTCCCGGCAGTGGTGGTTCTGCTTGTGCAGGAACACCTTGTGTTGCACAGTGTTAAGGTGTGCTGTAGTTTCATAAATGTAATGTCCTCGTCAAAGTTGATATTTTACCATAATTCCCATATCTGTTAAATGTGAATATATAAATGAGGACTGCTTTGAACAGTGTGTGCTGTTTGAATCTTTGCTTTAATTAAACAAAAGAGTTGTGTGAATTGTGTGTGTGTGTGCACAAGGAGAAATTCACTCCCCTGAAGTTGCTGACAGAGCTCAATGTACATGGGGATTTACAGATGTCGTGACAACCATCCCTCAAAACACGAAAACCCGTGCCAATGTTTCGGGTGGAAGAACACGGGAGACTGCATGGACAGTAGCGAAGTGAGGCCCATCTGCTCCAGCCCTCGACTTTCAAACCTTGTCTGTGCTGATGCGAAGTGGGAGGGGTAATCGACGGAATCTCGGGTGCTGAGTGTACTGGGAAAGCCGGTGTTGGGAGAGAGACCCAGACCAAGCGGACGCGACTGCCACCGCTGCTACTGAGCTGATTGAGGTTACTTTTTTACTGGTAGGAACCTCCTGGTTACACCAGCCCACAGGGGATTATTGTGTCCGTCCGTCCGTCGTGCATCCAAAAATGGGAGGGGTGGGGCTGGGTGGAGAGGGGAGGGTGGGGGGGGGGGGCTGGGTGGGGCTGGGTGGGGAGATGTGGGGCTGGGTGGGGAGGGGTGGGGCTGGGTGGGGAGGGGTGGGGCTGGGTGGGGAGGGGTGGGGCTGGGTGGGGAGGGGTGGGGCTGGGTGGGGAGGGGTGGGGCTGGGTGGGGAGGGGTGGGGTGGGGTGGGGAGGGGTGGGGCTGGGTGGGGAGGGGTGGGGCTGGGTGGGGAGGGGTGGGGCTGGGTGGGGAGGGGTGGGGCTGGGTGGGGAGGGGTGGGGCTGGGTGGGGAGGGGTGGGGCTGGGTGGGGAGGGGTGGGGCGGGGTGGGGCTGGGTGGGGAGGGGTGGGGCTGGGTGGGGAGGGGTGGGGCTGGGTGGGGCGGGGTTGGGTGGGGCGGGGTTGGGTGGGGCGGGGCTGGGTTGCTAGGGGTAACCCGTTAAAAGGTTAACCCTTTTGAGGGGTAAAACGTCGCCTTGGGTAACCCGTTGCCAAAAGGTAACCCGATTTAAAGCTTTCGCGACTGCAGGGATTCATATTCTTGGTTCTTTCGGTAAAGTCACGTAGAAGAGAAATAATAAAATAATAAAAAATAACATTCTCTCGACGTTTCGATTGCAACAAGCAATCATCATCAGGTGTGAAAACCACAGCAAGAATTTCTTTTTTACAAAATGATGATTTTATTGTTTCTCTTCTACGTGACTTTACCGAAAGAACCAAGAATATAAAAAGGTAACCCGTAAAAACAAAGTTTTTCACTCTAAATCCTTTATATGCGTGGCGGCTAGAGTCCTCTTGTCCTCTGGCTTGAAATGGCTGCCACCTATGGGTCAGATGATTGCATTGCACCATTAAGCAATTGGTAATTAAATATTTAATTTGTTTTCCCTAAACAGTGTAAAATTTAGGAATTTTTTTCACGAACGTTAATTGTCTCGCACAACGAGTCTGTGTGCAAAATGTCAGCTCGATTGGATCACGGGAAGTGGGTTAAAAAACGAGCGAAAGCTTTGCACGGTCCTAAGCAAGCAAGCAAGCACGCAAGCGAACGTAGTATAAAGGATTTAAAAAGGTAACCCGTTAAGCTTGTAATAACTCGTTGCTAGGGGTAACGGGCGGCTTACACGTCACCAGTTGCTAGGGGCAACGGGCGCTGCTCCGAGTGGCGCGGCGGCACAGCACCGCGCGCGTGATGACGTCACGGGTCAAAGGGCGCGGGTCAGAGGTCGTGGGAGGCGCCGTTGCAGCCGCACGTAGCGGAGCGAGTAACAATCCCCACAACAATCCTCACAACAACAACAACAACGACAACAAGCGGATCAATTAGCCCCTCTGTCGGAGCGAGCGAGCGTGATGGCGGACAGGGGAGACGACAAGAAATTCGCCGAGATCCCGAAGGAGTCTGTGCGCGCCATGGCCGAGGCCGTGGGGCTCGCGGGCCTCAGCGAGGCGGCGGCCGCGGCGCTTGCCGAGGACGCGGGCTACCGCGTGCGGGAGGCGGCGCAGGTAACGCGGGCACGCGGCAAAGACAAAAGACCTCCCGTGTAGCCTCTAACAGACTGTAGGGGCAAGTGCTGGCCAACACCACGCTCGGCCCGCTTTGTCTCCCTAGTGGCGACGTTTACACACCGCAGCAGGTACTTATTTGAGGCTGAGTCGACCTAGGGGAGGCCCAGGACCGGTTCAGATAATCGTCACTGGTGTTGGCCGTGTGCGGGAATCGAATTCAGGTGGTTGGGTTCGTAACGCAGCGCGCTAACCACTACACTACCGCTCCCCAGACACTGTCTGGCACGCACTGGCAGACCTTTTGCCGACTGTGTACCCCTGCCTATGTTTGCAACGCAATGTTCCATCGTGTACAGCGTCTAAATGCGATTGGGTCTCACCACGTTGTGCAGAGAACGCACCTCGTGTAGTTGTCAGGTGTTTAACACGCCGAATGCACGCGTGGTGTCGTAATGATGATACAATACTCCCGTTTGGCGGGCGGTGGTGGCTATGCACATCGCCTGTAATCCAGCGCTGCGGAGGCAGCAGCGAGAGGGTTTATGGATCATCGCGCAAATGTTGTGAAGGTCCCTTCCCGGTGGGCGTCGATTGAGTGCAGTACAGCAAGTGGACTTATCACTGTGTTTCCATCTGTACGGGGATAGAGTGTTGCCCCCTCGCACCGCGTGGGTTAGCGCTGGGTGCTTCGGTTTCCTTCCACTTCTATAAGCACTCGTTAATTTGCTGGAAAGCCAAGAATTGCATCAGACGTGTACAAATAAATTATCCAGTAGAGGAATAGAAGTGGTAGCCTTCCGTAGTGTTTGAATGAATCGGTGACGGAAGTTCCATCCATCTCAGCACAGCTTCACTTGTCGCACACCCCCGTTGTTTATATTGACATGACGTTTGCATGGTATTGAATTTACCCTTGGGGATGAACATACGAGGTCGAAAAGGGAGCCCCCCCTCTCTCCCATTGCCTTGTGCATTTCGTTTGAGATTGATAATTAAAATGCACCGTTGACCGTGTGTGCGGTTACATCACTTTGCGTTTCAGAAAAGTTGCCAGTTCATGAAGCACGGGAAACGCAAGAAGTTATTGGTGGAGGATTTCAATCGTGCACTTCGGTGGAGCAATGTGGAGGTACGACCACGATACGTTAGAAAGCGTCATAATGGTTGCCAAAACCTTCATGCAATGCATGCTTAATGCAATTTTCTTGACACTCGAGACGAGCATGGGACGAATGGAGGTGTGTGGGTTCGGTGCGATTGTTTTTCGCAGGCGGTGTGCGGGTTCGGTTCGTCTGAGCCCATGCCCTTCCGCTGTGCGCGAGAGGGAGAGGTGTTCTTTGTGGAGGATCGGGAAGTGGCTCTTGCGGAGCTGGTTCTGACTCCGCGCCCACCCTTCCCCTGCGCTCCGAAGCACATGCACGGTCAGGATGGGCTCATAGTGTGATCCGAGGTCGCTGTTCATTTCTGTAAATGACTGCTCGCGTCTGTAATTTTCCTCTAATATATTTGCCTAGCATTGGTATGCCCTAACTGGTTTTGCTCTGTCGTGTATTTTCTTGGCTGTGTTTCTTACATATCCTGTTTGTTTGATATGGGAAGACTGAGAATGTGTGTTGCAGTTGGCCATGTGTTTTTAATAAATTATCGGTATACTGATGTTGTTTTTGATGATTGCTTCTTTTATTACTCTTTTTTTATTGCAGTGCATTCTCTCAATTTTGATTTCAAAAGTCAACAGTGCTTATCTACAGGTAAGAGTCATCAAGAGGCTGATTAGTTTCCTTTTTAAACATAACGCAGTTCAGTGGCTGATTCCATCTATGCATTCACATGTAGCGTACACCAAATTGTCAGGCATGGACACGGCTTGTGCATGTGATTGTATTAATTTGAACAGCACATGCATTTCCTGGCATTTTACTCTCACTTAAATTTTGATATTAAGTATACTGCGGTGATTTAGTTTTTGCATGCACATTTACAAACCACCATTTATGCTCTGAGGAAAGTTTTGCCTGAGTCCACGAAGCCGTGGCTTCATGCCGTGCCCATCTCCCGATGGTGACGTTGCTGCGTCTCCTGCAGTGTCTGGTGGCCTGTGCGACGACATGAGCCAATACTATCAGCAAGCTGCACGGGCCATCCTGGGCTCCGACTTGCCGCTCATGAAGGTCTGAAGCATCTGCTCCTAACCCTAACCCTTCAACTTTGTAATTCTGACCGAATGAAACTTGTACCTTGAGGCATAAGATCCACAATCCCCCTATAATACCCTACACTCATTCGTAATAATAATTGCCACCAACAGCTGGTATTATGTCCGGCCTTACACATCGTAGCCTGGAACTAGTTTATCTTCATTAAGCGAAGTTTACAGTGGTTATACACTCACCACTCTGACATTTGCAATTTATACCAAGTGACGTCATAGTCCTATGATATTAACTATAAAACAACTTAAGTGCGGTCTTCTGGGTTGGGCTGCGTGGAGAGTATTTAATCTGTCAAGATTTTGCCTCATGCTGCTGTGGGCATCTTCAATTCCACTCCTGAAGATGCCTGCTGCAGCGTAATGCCTCGTTGGTTACATATTTTACACACGTGTTCCGTGTCAGTTTTAACACCAATGTATTTTGTGGTTGCGAAGTGGTTATTGGTGCTTAGGGGCATCTTTTTTTAACTGAGCTTATCAATGGTTTATTTTGTAGATTGCACTGCAGGACCTGCAGAAAAATCCGAAGATTGCAGCACTTCTGCCTTATTTTGTCAACTTTGTCAATAGCGTAAGTATGACGAAAATTAAATTAATATTTTTAAGTAATATAATAGATTATTAAAATACACTGCCGTGTATGTATGTAGTTTTATACAGTCGATTAAAACTAGTAAATGTATAACTCCTCCAAATGGAGTGAGATTTCTTTTTTACACTCCGAGCGCAAGCACAAATACAAAAAATGGAAAAGAAAAGTGAATCTATTTTTCCAAAAGCACACACGGCCGAGTGCCGAGAGCTCCATGCATTGCTTGCGCTCCGTGGACGTGCGCAGGTCAAGTCTGTTTCCCACGACCTGGAGCAGCTGAACCGGCTGATGTTCGTGGCGCGGGGACTTGTGCTGAACCCGTGCGTCTACCTGGGCGCGCACACGCAGAGCCTCGTGTGCAGCGTCATGTACTGCATCTTGGAGCCTCTCGCCGCCTCCATCAACCCCCTCAACGACCACTGGGCCCTGCGAGACCTCGCCGCGCACCTGCTTGCACACATCATCGCGTAAGAACCGCACTTGCGCACGTCGCGCTGCTCCTGTCCCAATGCACTCCGGTGCGGTGTATGCTGCTTGCTGTGTTATTGGCTTCGGAATGATGGTATGATGTTGGTGTGTGCGGCGTGCAGGCTGTACAGAGATGTGGTAGTGTAGCGGTTAGTGTGCTGCGCTATGAACCTGGCGACCCGGGTTCGATTCCCGCTCACGGCCAACACCAGTGACGATTATCTGAACCGGTCCTGGGCCTCCCCTAGGTCGACTCAGCCTCAAATGAGTACCTGATGCGATGTGTAAACAGCGCCACTGGGGAGACAAAGGTGGTCGGGCGTGGTGTTGGCCACTCACCCCCTCGTGTGCCGTGCCGGCCTTTATAGGTGCTCGCTAACAGCACTTGCCCCTACAGTCTGTCAAGGCTATACGGGGGATCTTTGTCTTTTTGTCTTTGGTGTGCAGGCTGTATGGAGACGTGGTGGCAGGCCTGTACCACCAGGTGTTGCTCACACTGCAGAAGGTCCTTGTTGACCCTGTGCGCCCTCTCTGCTCACATTACGGAGCCGTCGTGGGGCTCAGTGCCCTTGGATGGAAGGTAATTTCTCATGCTCTGATGAATCTACCTGGTCATTATACACAAATGTTTCAGTGCTATACCTCCGATACAAGCACGTACTTCAGGAAAACACGTGCCGCCACGTGATCCCACGACAGAATCTACACGTAATTTTGGAAAGTAGCGGTGTTGGTCGTGTTAAGGTTGTGACAGTTACGAGAATAGATTGTATTATTGTAATCGGTTGTAATGTAAACAGTCATTTAAGCAGCACGAAATCGTGCAAAAAATATTTCTTAATGCGCATTGCTGCCTCGTTGCACTGTGCTCATTAAATTGATATTAAGGTATCGCTTAAAGTGGTGGTTGAACTTGAGGTATTTGTTGTTCTTGAGTTTGTCCGGTTAGGCATTGCTCCACCCGACAGGGCCCGCATTCTGATTAGCGCAATCGACTGTAGTTCATAGTCGGGCTCATGGAATAACAAGATCGCCACCACGAGCAGCAGATCACGAGCGTTTCCGGTCATTGGCAGACAGGCGGGTGTAGCTCCCAACAAGCAGCGGGGAAGGTGCCACACCATCAAGGCACTTGTAGACGATTAAGCAGAGTTTATACTCGGCATGTCTCTGTTACGCATGTTGCTGTTGATGTGAATTCACTGGTATACACAATACACGGTTCATATGATGTTTGTACGTCGGTACAACGTGCCTTCGGTGCATGGTGACACGAGCATCTATCGTCCTTGTGTAGGCGGTGGAGAGGGTGTTATTGCCTCACCTGCACACCTACTGGTCCAACCTGCAGCCGGTGCTAGATGACTGCTCTGTCTCCAATGGTCAGGTGAAGGCCGACGCTCACAAGGTCTACGGAGCCATCATGGTGAGCTCTGCCGTGAAAGAAAAGCACTGTCTGCAAAGATAAAAATCCCCCATATCGCCGTAACGGACTGTTAGGGCAAGCACTGTTAGTGGGCACCTATGAAGACCAACACGGCACGGGAGTGGGTGGGTGACCAACACCATGCTCGGCCGCCTTTGTCTCCCCAGTGATAATGTTTACACACCACACCAGGTACTCATTTGAGGCCGAGTCAACCTAATGGATGTTCAGGATCGGTTCAAATATTTGTAACTGTTGTGAGCAGGAATCAAACTTGGGTCACCGGGTTTGTAGTGCAGTGTGCTAAACACTACACTACTGCGTTCCACCTTGCCAACCGCATGGTACGTAGCCAACCGCAGCACCCACTCCCGTGCCGCAAGGTTTGCTTCGTACATTGCGAAAGCAGTTCAACATACGCATATACATGTCCACTTACTGCATCTCATATATCAGCATGTTCCTGCTTGGTCTTGAATGTTAATTGCAAGATTTAATTGTCTCCAATTTTACGCTCAGAAAACCCTGCTTGATTTCTGACAGTTTTTTTAATGAAATTTGCATTTTTGTTATCTCTGGTGACCAGACATTATTCACTGAAAATATAAATACTGTATTCATAATTAAATTTGCATGTTTTATTTCTGACATTAGTTATCCAAAAACAGTAGGGCAATTAGACCAATTCCTTAATAGTACTTGATTATATCGTGATCAAATTTGCGGTGACAGCTGGACCACTTGTGAAAGCACTTATACATTGCAAGTTGTATTTATAAGGCATCTAAATGCAACTAGCGCACAATGCTGTACCGTCACAGTGGACATGTTTCTTCTTTAGAACGAGGCAAAGTCAGTCATAGGCAGAGGAAAAAGTATTGTACGAGACCAAGCCACCATCACCTCTTGTGATGCTTTGATGTAATAATCCACCATTGTTCCATCTCCTCAGTGGACATCCTCTTGGACATGTTCCATTCCTGGGCTGCCACTAATTATTCTTGACCATTAGCGACATGTCCTGGCCAAGCCAACTCTTCACAACAGTGTGCATGATGTCATTAACCTGCGTACATTCTGTCACCCATCTGTTCCTCATTCTGCCTCTCAATGCAATTCCAAGTGTGCATCTCTCCGTACTTTATTTTTGTTCCGTATTTCTTTATTGTTGATGACCGCGTTTCTGAATCATGACTTGAACAAAAAAATCCCTGCGTGGAGTTAGTGATGATTCGAGTTTCTGTCACATTCAGGTCGCGGTGGAGAAGCTTGTGAAAAACAAGGTGGCTTTGTGTGAAGCGAGCGAACTGTCATGCGGGAGGGCCGCGACGGCGTGTGAGGTGTCGCCGTGCCAGAGTCCTGTCCCCAGCCTTCAGCCCGACTTCACGTTCGGGCCGGCGAGCCACCTGCTGGGGCGTGGCGGGGGAGGTGGGGGAGAGGGCCTCCTCCCAGCCAGCCTGCCTGCTCACGGTGGCACAGCATCCCTTCCTGCGCTCTACACGCAGCTTTACCACTTGTTTGGCGACGGCCTGGCGCTGCGTTTCGGCACTGGAGCCAGTTCTTCGGTGCCACTGGGCGACGACGGTTCAGCGGAAGAAGCCGCAGCTGCGCAGAAAGCGAGCTGCATGGCTTCTTGTGAAGGTGATAAGGGAAAAAAGAAGATTCTGCTCAATCTATGCTTGCAGGAGATGGCCCGAGAACGTGATGGAGGAAAACTCGAGCCTTCCAAGTCGCCTCCGTTCAGACCAAATATACTACGCAAATCAAAGTCTGGGACGCGGCAGCGGCAAGAGAAGGGAGGCCGGATGCGTGCTGCTTATGGCGTGCGGGATGTGTTTGAACAGCCTCTCCGGCCAATCTACCCTCAGCAAAGGCTACACGTTAAAATAGCTGGAAATCTCGTGTCAGTGAGTGGACGGGGAAGAGTGTTCATGTCAGATTTTCCACCCCACATTGCAAAACAGAGCTCCAAGTATGGCCAGAAACTTTCAGCCATTGGACGATTAAATAAGCCAGTCAAGAAGGCTTGCAGGTCTGATTTCTCCCTTTGGACTCCGTTGTAAGGAGGCTCCGACAAGACGCGTTTCAGTTGTTTGAAGAGAGGCGCGTGAAGAGGAAGTAGAGAAGAATAAAGCAGCTCTGGCAGAGATGACACTAATGTTTACTACCCACTTACATTCTGCGGTGATGACTGCAGTGCTTGAAGAAATGCACACTGGCTGCGCGAAAATGGGGTGACCTGATTAACATGACTTATCCCGCGCTAAATGGGCTGCTGCCTTGATGGGCCATCTTCATATCACATCGATATTTTCAAAGGCTACTGGGGTAAAGCATAACCGAAATGTCATGGGCACCTAATATTCTACAGTTGATACGTTTATAAATTTGATGTTTACATATTTGACCTTTTTTGAAGTACAGTATGCATACTTGGACACGTGCGGTTTGTGTATTTACTTTACGCGTGTAATGTGTGAGTGGCACACGACACAAACATTTGAATGTATATACCTTGGTTTTTTTGTCTACTCAATAAACCAACAGAGCAAAGGTCTATAAAGGTCGCTACAGGTGGTAGGGTACGTACAGAGGATGCGGTACGTGGTGGTGGTTCTTTCACCAGCTTGTTTGCCCATCCTATGATAGAAGCTATCATTCTTTCATATGGCTGGTGTAGATGCAGAGCAGCAGCAACAACGACAATTTTACATTTAGGTTTTCAAGCCAGATAATCGCGTCAGGAGCAACGGAGTTTATCGCTGTAATGTCTCCTTCGTATTTGTGGATCCGGCATTGCGTCGTTATATAGGGTTGGCTGTTGATGCCTCCTAACATTGTAATATGGGGGATCGAGTTTTCTTGTTCTGTTCACGGGACATCATCTGTAGAGGAGACGCTGCTTTTAGGTCGCATTATTTTCCTAGAATAGCACCACATTGAAAATCCTGGTGTCAATTGAACCCTACGAACCGTCGTGGTGAAGTATAGTCAAATCATTTACATGAATTCAAGATTTGAAGGTTTTTTTGGTAAAGTCGCGTAGGTAAAATAATAATGAAAACAACTCAATTAAATCACGACGTTTCGGAGGCAACACAAGTCTCCGTCTTCAGGTGGGACCGTCACAGCAAAGTTTACTGTATCAAGTGAAGAGAAATCCAAGAGATAAGATCTTATATATACTGGTTATGGGGAGGGGGGAGGAGCTTATCTAAATGTGGCAGTCAGGGACTGGTGGGGGCGGGGCTAGAAGGGAAGGTGGGCGGGGCTAGAAGGGGAGGTCCAAGTGAAGAACCTCCACAGGGGTTATGGCCGATATCTGCCAAAACCAAAATAGCAGCACTGTTAAACGCTGGGGATGTCAACAACTCGGTAAAATAGACGAGTACCTGTCATTTACATGACAGGTACTATATGACTCGAAGAGCGTGTGGGGCGGGGGGGGATTACTCATCCATCCAGCAGTGGATTCACATCAACAGCTACGACCATTTATAATGGAATACAAAATACATATGCGGACAATACACGTTTGTCTTTCCACATAAAACATAGTTTGTTTACAAACTATGTTTTTATACAAATGTAGTGCAATAGCGCTGGCTGCTGTCTATAAAGTGTAACTACAAGATACGGCAGAACACACGTCAAGAGACGACGGTACATAGGGGATATAAAACATCTGGGCAAAGTTCATGGAGGGGGGGGGGGGCATCTGGAAGCCCCGGGAACGTGTTGGTAGGATCCAGAAGGGGGGCGTGGTGAGGGCGGATCAAGGCCACGCCGGGAGGATAAGAGGGGGGGGGGGCCCTGAGCGAGAGCTCGGGGCTGTTGCTAGACAGCATGCCGACTGTTTAGTTAGTGCCGCCGACAACAGACGGTCGTGCGTGTTGAGATGTATATAATAATTCAAATCAAGAATGTATGAACAGTGTGCACCCACGTAGGGTGCGTGTCGTCCCCATCGTGAGTAAAGAATATAGAGATGCCTCCAGGTATTGCTGTCTCCGATCTGCGTCACCACACAAACCAAACTTGTGTTTTGTTTACACATCCCATCGGCTACCACCGGCCTTCGGGGAGTGCATTGCAATTTCAAGATTAAACCTACGTTGTGACGTCATCGCGCGTTTCCGTCTCGGGCCGCGAGCGGATGTCGTCACTCCACGGGTTTCTTTCTCTCGCGATGACGTCACACCAGAGTCGGGGGGTGGTTGTCCCCCGCGTGGTGACGTAACGCTCAAAGCGGGGGGGGGGGGGTTGTCCCCCGCGTGGTGACGTAACGCTCAAAGCGGGGGGGGGGTTATCCCCTGCGTGGTGATGTCACGCCAGAGTCGGGGGTGGGGTTTGTCCCCCGCGTGGTGACGTCACACCAGAGGGGGGGGTCCACCCGCGTGGTGACGTCACACCAGGAGGCGGAGGGGGGGGGCGTCCCTCCGCGTGGCGACGTCACACCAGGAGGCGGAGGGGGCGTCCCTCCGCGTGGTGACGTCACACCAGGAGGCAGAGGGGGGGGTCCCCCTGCGTGGTGACGTCACACCATGGCGCCGCTCATCTACTTCTGCGGCAGCGTTCGTGGCGGGCGAGGGGACGCGGCGCTGTACGCGGCTCTCGTCGGGCACCTGCAGAGCCACGGCCGCGTGCTCACGGCTCACGTCGGCTGCCAGGAGCTGGGGGCGAGCGGTGAGAGGCCGGAGCGACGCGGTGGATTTGATGGTGGCGCTTTGGACTCGCGTGGTGCACCTAGCCTGGCACGAGGCGCCCGCGCCACTTTGTGTGGGCGAACGGCGGCTGCTGTTGGTGCATCATTGCGTTTTGTGAGAAGGGCGGGGCGGTCAGTCACGTCCAATGTACTCTACCGCACTTTTTAAGTGTTCAGTCAGTGAAGTGGATGGGTTCCACGTGTGAACTTACACGCCGTGGAATGTATCAAGAAGCGTTTGCGAGCTGCATCGAGCGTAGCACGCCTTAATGTGTAGAGGCCCGCAGAGCTTTGGCAGTGTTGTTGACATGTTTTTCGTTTTTTGCATTAGGTCCATTGTATAAGAAATCGGTCAACTAATTAAATTGTTAGAGTAGTTATTTGCTGTGCCGGTATCCTTCGCAGTGGATTTTATCTCAACATATTTCACCAGCATAAGCCGTTGTGTGAGAGAACTAATGTACATTGTTGCAATAGTGGCCAGAATCACACTCACCTGGTCTTGCCAATATTGAATGATATTGTACCGCCGCTTGTGAATTTTGGTGTAAGCCAGAATCAGAATAGGTTTCCCCTTTTTTCTCTGGCAACAAAACAGGTGTTAAGATGTTAAAACACCAAACTGAAACCTTTTACAAGGAATCACGTCTGCATTAACCATAATACTTGTAATCAGAATGCAAACAAAAAATATACTCTGATAATATATGCATTGTCTTTGAAACTGATTGGTCCACACCAGAGACAGCTTTCTTTTGAGCCTAGTCTCAGACGGTTAGACCAGAGGTCCCATGATGTAGCTGCCCACCCCGGGATCTCATTACTCTGATAGTGCATTGTCTTTGTGCTGTATGCCTTTTGGCGTCCTCTGGTCTAACACTGTTTGAGACTCGGCTCAAAAGAAAGCTGTCTCTGGTGTGGACCAATCAATTTCAAAGACAATGCATATATTATCAGAGTACTTTTTTTTTGCATTCTGACCACATGTATTGTGGTTAATGCAGACATGATTCCTTGTAAAAGGTTTCAGTTTGGTGTTATAACATCTCAACACCTATTCTTGGTTCTTTTGGTAAAGTCACGTAGAAGGGAAATAATAAAAATAAAACAATAAAATTCTCACGATGTTTCGATTGTAACACAAGCAATCATCATCAGGTGTGAAAACCACGGCAATAAAATTCGAAAATATTCTTGCTGGGGTTTTCACAGAATTTTTTTAATTTTTATTATTTCCCTTCTATGTGACTTTACCGAAAGAACCAAGAATATGAATCCCTACAGTCACGAAAGCTTTAAATCGAAAAATCTCAACACCTGTTTTGTTGCCAGAAAAAAAGGGGAAAACCTATTCTCATATTTTGGTACTGGCAAAGGAGGAGGTCCCATGATCCAGAACCAGAATCTTTATTTTTCCTGGAGAAATCCGAAGGGCTATGAAGATCTCATTTTCTCCACATATGTCCAGTCCTAAACCGTGTCTTGGTGACGATGCTGATGTGCAGGGGAGGCGAATCTGGACGAAGCCTACATCTACAGGCGCGACATGGAGTGGCTTGAACAAGCAGACGGTAAGCTGGATGGAGCCAATGGCGCCGTGTTGACTGTAATGTTACCTAGATCCGGAAGAACGTCGATGAACAGAGTGGAGCAGAGTGGAACAGCGTGGATGTCCAGAGTAAACGCCTTGTTCAAGATGACACACATCGGTTCCCCCGGTTCTGACGTTTTCTCGAAGATAACGACGGCACCACCAACGTCAACTCCCATCATTGTTTTTGTTGTTGCAATATGTTTATACGGTTTCTACATTATTTGCATAGGAAAGATGGGTTAATTAACGTAAGATTTTGAATTTTTAAGGACAGTTTTGTGACTAGAATTTCAGACCAGTAACATGCTTTTGTAAAATACGTTTTCCCGCTAACGATAGTGACGTCGCCTCAAGGCATGTCACATCTCCTTTGGCAGGAAATGTGCACACGTGATGTCGTATGCACACAAATAAAAACTGAGATCGTACGAAATTTCAGATTGGCTTTTAATTGGATTAATCTAAAAAATCTGGACGGAATCCCTTATCGCTTTACAGCACTTCGCAATAGGATTCATCCCACGATATCCGTAGAATCAGTGACTGACGCTTGCGTGGTCGTGGCGGTTTTAGTTGTTGTTGCAGAAGTGACGCAGCCATCCCTTGGAGTTGGGTACGAGATTGGCCGCGCTGTCGCCATGAAGAAGAACATTCTTTGCTTGTTCCGACCATCTTCCGGGTGGGGTAAGCTATCCGATGTTTGCCTTAACTATTCAACGAGGCATCGGCTCTTCCCCTGTTCAAGGCCTATCTCACAGGTCGCCTCTGTTGTATATTGATGCCATGCCTCCGTCATTATCCCTTGCACATAAATGCCCCCGGCTAAATTTTGCATCCATTGCTGAACATTTTACTCGTATAAGCTTTGTGCCGTAGTCGTTACATGCACCTCCGTTGCTTTCCTCACATTTGTCGTTTACTCTGCATTCTGCGCATTGGGAGGTAGCTTATGCACTAAGACCGAGTGCTCGAAACACATTTCTACGTCTTTGAAACCAATTGGTTTTGTGGCCTGCACTGTTATTGTTACCGTGGCTATTTCTTGTCATCTACAGATGTGATGTTGGGAGGTAGCCCATTTAAGCACTTAATTCCAACGGCACTAGTTTCTCTGGCCCCCCTCCCTCTCTCTGCGTCCGCCCTCCTCTGTCTATTTAAGGCCACCCCACAGAGACGACCACCTCTCTCTGTTGCCTGTGTTGCTCTCTCTGTGTATCTTGGTGATGTCTGTCTGCTGGTATGTCTGTCTATAGTTTTCTGGTTGGATTTTATGTCGCTATTTCATTATACCTGATGATTGCTTGTGTTGCAATCGAAACGTCGTATTCTATTATTTAATTTAATTTATTATCTTTAGACGTGACTTAACCGAAAGAAACAAATAATGATTCCTGCAGTCACGAAAGTTCTAAAATTAAGATTGGCACTAGTTTTGCATAGCTTGGCTTGCGTCAATACTCACCCGTCTTACCACTCATACCCATGAGCAACTCGCTTGACAATCACCACGTGATTAGTTCGTGGTGTCTGGCAAGTTAGCTCTGCACGACAAACATGACCCGAGTAAATTTTGACAGCCCATCCTATGGATGGATTCATATGCAATGAATACCTCATTCATTGCATATGTTGGCCCCATCCCCCTATCAATCGGCTCCTCCCCCTCCCCAGTTCCATCAGCAGCTTCAGGCACGGTTTTTTTTTAGGCTTGGCTTAAAGGTCTTGTTAGGTTATAAACATCGCAATGCGATGTGTACTTGGATTTTGGTTATAATGAGCCTGAATTGGACCGTGGACAACGACATTTACTCATGTAAATGCCGACAAAATTCAACTTTATGCAATGCATACAGATGCTATACAATTCTAAGCAAACCACTGTTGATAAGACAGACACGTGTTTTCTAGCTCTACATAAAAAAATAATTGTGCACTTTGCTTATTTGTGAACTAGCTGCACATGTAATATTAACACCAAATGTAATTGCCAATGTCATCATCAGCCTGCGGGATGAAGGCCTCCCCAAATCAGCACCACCTCTCATGATCCACCCGTCATCACATTGTAAATGTGTAGAACTGTTAACCATCGTTTGTGGTGTTGAGCACGATTGACCCACTTTCAAAAAAGGTGGCTGTGTATTTCCTTTGGTTTGTGGGTGACCAGTGTTATTGTCTTGCAGCATTGTCAGCCATGATCCGAGGGACACAGGAAAATGAAGGCGTGCAGGTGAAAGATTATTCGGAGGAGAAAGAAGCGTGTGATATTATCACACAGTTTTTAAACACCCTACAACAGCCCACTACTCTACCTTAGCATAACGGAGCCCCCGGGTGTCCTACTGTGGCCTCACTTTTTTTTCATTGAATATGTACACATTAAGACAATCTATGGTTTGTATGATTTTTACGGTTGTAAAATATTCCAAAATTAGCGACGATTAACATATGATCACTGGTTGAAGGTCACAATTTAGTTTTATTCTCACGCATCTGCTATTGTGCAGTGGAAATAGTGAGCACCACTCTTGGTTCTAGTTCACAATTGGTCCAATGATTTCTATAATCTTGTTGCAATTACACACTTTTTAGTTGCGATGGGTAAGCTTGACTGAAGCTCGAAACAATTCAATAATTACAATTAAAACATTTTTTGAAAACACTGTTGTTTGAGCTCAATTGTTTTATGTATTGACCTTACATTATCCTCACTCAATGATTTCATAAATTTTACACCCCTCATCCTCACTTTATCCTCACTTCTTCACACAATCCTTCCTTGAAACGTCCAACCTGCACTAATCCTCACATTTTCTCACTGCCACACAACGCCATAGCAAACACATGGCTCCCTTCATTACCTATTTTCTCCGTAAGGTGGAAGTGTTTCCTTTCTTGATCATTTTACAGTTGATCTTGAAAATGTCTTGGCATTGCTGCCAAAAAAACCCACATCTGATCTCCACAAAAGGCAGAGTGGGTCTTTAGCTGTCATAATTACAACCAATGTTTCCTTACTCAATGCCCTCAACACTTTCAACAGTAGAATATCTGAAATACACTTGGCTACCGAAAACGCTATCAATATTGCCAAATGTCCTGCACCTAAATATTTAAATTGCTGTTCATTACTAGTGAGCGGCGTCTTTCATGCAATCTTAGCTGGAGTAGGTATGTTATTTTGCACCTTTTGTGGCCAAACGTGCTCATTGGAGTAGACGTGTGTATGAAGATCCCAGCATTTCCATTGTTCACCACGACTTGCAGATGATCTTTATTATAAAAAAAATGTACACACATTATTCCAGGTAGTCAATGAGGTTTGCACAACGATAGCATTGCATGCAGTCATGTGCCATGTTTGTAGCATAATCATGTCCATGGTTGTAGCATGCAATGTAATCTTACTTGTACAATATCTACATTGTGTGCATATATACATATATTAAAACAAAAATATCCTATGAATGTTTTAAATGTCAGGTCATACAAAAGCATTTTTGTGTAAAGGGTACAGTGAAAAGAGTGCACAAAAACACAAACGGTCATCGCTAAGCATCTACCAAAGTGGGAGAACAGGTAAACGCCAATGTTCATCTCTTGAAAGTCATTCCGACAGCAGCACCTGAAAAATGTGTTGGGCCACCACTGCCTGCAGCCTTTCCAGACAGTTGCTACCCGCCATTCAAGTGCCGAGTCATGTGCTCGCAGGCGACGGAAACCTCGGGTATGGCACGTAGGTCTGGCTGGAGTCGTCCAACGTCTCCATGTTCCAGTCATTCTCCACTGGACTTCCCTTCCGCTGGGCTTGGTGATGACGATGTTTGTGATTGGCTGAGAGTTGACAGCTGGACAAAGTGCATAAAGACAAAGGTCCCCCGATTTAGCCTAAACAGACTGTTGGGGCAAGCACTATTAGCAGGTAGCAACTACGAAGGATATACGAGGAGGTGGGTAGCCAGCACCACACCTGGTCGCCTTTGCCTCCCCAGTGGCAATATTTACACTGCACCAGATACTGATTTGAAGCTGAGTCGACCTAGGAGAGGCCCAGGACCAGTTTAGATAATCGTCACTGGTGTTTGCCATGAACGGCAATCGAACACCAGTCACGAGGTTTGTAGCGCAGTGCACCGATCGCTACAATGCCACTCCTCAATAATGCGTGCACACGCACAAAAAATACTTTCATACAAGCACACGTATACGACATTGCCAATGTCATTTTGGTAAAAAGCAGTCTACGAATAAAAACAAAACACGTAATTCTCAAGGTGAATAGAAAGTAGCAGTAGCAGTGTTCCCTCATCAGTACAATGCAATTTTACCTGTTGGAATTGCAAAGAGTTTACTGGGATCTGCAGTGCTGTCCCAGAGCTGGTGAGCACCACTTGAGGAATGCCTGTCCCACAGACAGCAGCATCGACACGCAACACCTTAGCATGCTCTAGCACACCGCAACGCAAGCCCAATACAGTACACATCACCTGGTAATTGAACATACAGAGGAGTCGTGCTGCTAATCCTACATAATGCACGGGTATAATGACTTTGAACCCCCCCCCACCTCCTACGCATTCCACAAGTAGTGACTAATCCCATATCTGCATTTTTTATATGCAAATTCCTTTGTCAAGGCACCCTTCCTCCTCTAACCCAGCTTAAATATACGCTGCCAAGCTTGGTGGTGTTCATTCAGACGCTGTCTTTCCGACAGACCTATTCTTCACCTGAGGACGGCTGCTTGCGTTGTGGCCGAAACGTCGTGAGAATTGTATTTTATAACGTTTTATTTTTATTATTTTATTATTTCCCTTCTACGTGACTTTACCGAAAGAACCAAGAAGATGAGTCGTGCAGTTGACGATTTAAGCACTGTGGATGACTGTGCGAGGGCCTGTGTACACAAATGGTTTTCACTGGTCCGATTATGTTGGCATGGTCGTTACAAAATGATGTTCATTCAACAGCTTTCAAGATCCAAGAAGGTTAGTGACTATATGTATGTTAAGGTTACATACATTTCAATGCAAACTAAATGCAGCACAAACAACCCTAGAACGTGGAAAAATGATAATCTTTTATATGTAAAATGAAATGTTTCTGTTGTAAAACGATGAAATGCTCTTGCATTAAGACAAAAGCAACAGTGGATGCATTAGTTTAAAAATGAGACGTGGGCACACCAAGCCAACCTGGCTTCTTGGACCAACACTGTATTTGGAATGAGCACCATTGAAGTAAACATTGTATTTCTGTTATAATATATATTAGGAAAACTAGGAGCTTTTTACATTGCCATTGGTAGTATAAGGTGGGTCCCGACCAGTTCCAATCACAATCCTTCATCAACTCAGAAACTGACAATATTCCATCAGTTACGTCATGTCAAACGTCCAGATTTGCCACGGCGTTTCAACTAAATTAAAATGCAGATATAATGCGTATGACAATGTGCACTTGGCTACGAAGTGGATTCTGAATATTGTCAACGCTCCCTTCAGGTGTGTTGCCAGGACACAGCCGTGCATGCTTGTGCAGCGCCTGCCGGGAGGAACCGTGTTCAAGGGTGGAGTGCTCATTCGGACGCTGTCTTCCCGACAGACCTGTTCTTCACCTGAGGACGGCTGCTTGCGTTGTGGCCGAAACGTCGTGAGAATTTTATTTTATTGTTTTATTTTTAAATTTCGATTTAAAGCTTTCGTGACTGCAGGGATTCATCTTATTGGTTCTTTCGGTAAAGTCACGTAGAAGGGAAATAATAAAAATAATACATAATAAAATAATTCTCACGACGTTTCGGCCACAACGCAAGCAGCCGTCCTCAGGTGAAGAACAGGTCTGTCGCTGTCTTCCTGACAAGACCTGTTCTTCACCTGAGGATGGCTGCTTGCGTTGTGGCTGAAACGTCGTGAGAATTATTTTATCAAATTGGATTTTTATTATTTTATTATTTCCCTTCTATATGACTTTACCGAAAGAACCAAGAAGATGTTTTATTTGTATTACTTTCCCTTCTACGTGACTTTACCGAAAGAACCAAGAAGATGAATCCCTGCAGTCACGAAAGCTTCAAATCGAAATTTAATGGTGGGGTACCTTGCTCGTGCGTGCCAGCGGAGTGCGCGTTGAACGCGTTGAGAAGGGTGAGCCCTTCGGAAGATGTGGCGTACATCACGCCGTGGGGATACATCACGTGGCCTCCAACCGTCGTGGCACACGTTGTAGGGACCAGGGTTGCCATGGACACTAAAACAGTGACGACCGCGGGGGGGGGGGGGGGGGGGGGACAGGCAATGAGCGACGTTCTTCTTTGAATCACATTTTAGATTCTGTTTTCAAGAACCAATCTTAACAAAGCAAGAATAATATACTGTATTCTTAATAAATCTTGCTCTCAAGGAAAGTATATACTTATGGATAATGGCCCTGCCATTGACAAAATGTGTTTTTATTTGTCCTTGCGCATCACTGCCGATGCTGCATCGCATTGAGTTTGGGTAATATTCTTGACACCGCAATTCTAAGTTGTACAATATTGTGCAAGTTCTTTATGGTGGCACACCTCTTTCGATTGCGATACCAACACACACGACTGTAGACAAAATGTAGCAAAGTCCTTTTCAGCCATGACAGAATAAGAGAGCGGCCGAGGTCTCCCCATGCTCCCTGCTACACACCTGTGGGCGGAGACTCCACAACAGTGAAGGTGCTGCTCGATGCTGCTGTCTGACTGGTTGGCTGGAGATTGACATGTCCATTGGTTGGCTGAAGGGTCACATGACCCGGCTGGATCTGAATGGCCTGCAGCGGCATCTGCTGGGCAACTCCATTTGTCTCTGGAGGAGTAAAACCAATCACTTCAAAAGCACGTCGTCACCCAGCACAACACAGTTCACCCTAACACATGGCATCTCGAGGCACAAGCATGTCACCACATTACAGTGCAACACACTACACCTACGTGGCATCTCGGGGTATACTTCACTTTGGCACTCGGCACCTTCATGGTTCTTTGGAGACTTTCTATACTTTGCACGATTATCTTACATAATAATGGTGTTTCATTAGGGTTGTACATGCGATACGCCCACAATGCAATACACGTCTCACAGCACGGTGGGGCATGAGAGAACAGGAGGGACCGAGCAAGGGAAGGAGAATGGAAGCATTTTATGGGGCCCGAAGACATGGCATTGAAGAGGAAACTTTTGAGGAGAGATCTGACAGCAGAGAGGGGAAGCGAAGTGGTCGAGTAGCCTGGAGTCGGAGCTGCAGAAGGTAACTGGTTTTTATTCATGTGCAAGTCCAGTTTACACAACCCTGGTGACAATTGTAGGGAATTATTTTTTTAAATCTTCAATGTGTGGTACATTTTTCCTCCAATTGACACCCATGTATTAACATGGTCAAGTGAAAAGATAAACAACTCAAAATGTATCATTGTATAGCTCTTGCACTGAAACACGCAGCCTATGGTCATCCAGGAGGGAGGGGGAATAGTGTGAAGGCAAAGCAAACCTATGGAAAGAATTTGTCCTGCAGAGGAGCCTGGAAATCGGAATACAGTGTGCTGTCCACCACACGATGGAGGCCCAGGAAGGGTCAGCTGCTGTGAGAGGGATCCGATTGGTGTTCCTGGAGGCAAGATAGTACCTACAAACATATCAAATCCAATTATTAGTACATTGTGTATCTGCGCCATGCTTATAGTGCAAGTCTATCACGAAAGGCGCTATGTTTCACATTCGATTATAGTCTGCAGTAATTTCACAGATGGTAGGGTGATGTTGCTAGATGGTTAGGTAATGTGCCAAATAATTGAAGAAATTTGGACCGTGAAGCTGACACACGTGGCCTACTCTTTTTCGAATACCATCAAAGCCTCTTTAACGTCCACTGTGAAACAGTGGGAGCACATGTTTTGCCGAGTGCATGTGCAGTATTAACCAGGGGCGGCCGCTGGGCTCGAGTCGCGAATCTCTACAACAAGCGGCAATCGTGACATGAACAGAAACGTGCATGCACAAGTGAGGTTACAGCCCCTTTAAGTTCCAGCATGGCATCTTGAAGCCAAAATGGGGTGGCATAGTTGTACTGCGGAGGGTTAGAACAGCTGCATCGCTTGCACTTTATCAGGCAAACCTTTAGCCATACTTAATCTACTCCTATACATCACGGCACATTGGGATATAGGCGAGGACTTTCATCCCTCTCCAAAGCCCTGGAGCTGCTATTGGTGGCGAGGCACTAAAAGGCATAAAGATGCAGGTGGACAGACCGACTCGAGGCAAATGCTGACCGGGCATGAGCGTGATGGCATTGGGTAGCACACTGGAGCTCTGGCAAACTCCTTGGTTGCCTCCTTTGCTGGTGCCGCTGCTGCTGGCACTGCTGCTGGTATGGGTACCGAGCACAGGCGCCATGTAGCTGGTGATGGGGAAGGCAGTGCTGCTTCCAAACTGCACGCTGGTGGCGGCCCCCCCTGCCGACTGCCCGCTGGTCACCGCTCCCGGGATGTTCGAGATGGTTACCAGGGAGGGCTTGGCTGTGGTTTCGTGCTGGAACGCGCAAGGATCATCGTGAAATGGACAAAGCGTCCCAGCTATGATATAAATAAAATGTAAAAACGTCCACACTTTGCCAATAACGATGCCTTTAAAATAAAATAGGTAACATTTCGGGCAATGGGATTTTTTCGTTGAACTATGAGATTATCGCCCAAAAGATTGTCTATTACATTTTTAATCTTGATTTGAAGCTTTCGTAGCTGCAGGAATCAATACTCTTTGGTTCTTTCGGTAAAGTCACGTGGGAAAGCTGATGATGGACGCTTGTGTTGCGCCCGAAACATCGTGATTTATTTTATACCTACGTGACTTTACCGAAAGAACCAAAGAGTATTACATTTTTGTTGGTGATGCTGCCGCTACGGTGTCAATGATGCACTGGCAATGTAGCAGCATCACCAAATAATTTGTTCAACGATGATTTTAAAGAAACGCGCGCGTGCGCATACACAAATGATAGCGGGAGCCCCCAGCATTTCTCTCCACATTTTCTGAGATCACTCTCGATTTCTAACACAGAACACAACAAGAAAAAAATGTTCGCATCGCTGCAATGTTAGATATTCTGCGAGTGACGGACGGTGGGTTTACCTTGACGTCAGCCGAGGAAGTTTCCCCGTCTGCCACCTGGTAGATCAGTTCGGTCTCCTCAAAGCCCGTGGCACTCATGCGCTGTTGGGTACCAGAGTCAGTCCTTGGTGGCGAGTCGGGCGAGTTGAGGCAGGTCTGGATGAGCGCCTTGCCACTCTCACTGGTTATCATGGGCTGCAGCTTACGCGTGGCAAACGTGTACACGTGTCCCGTCTCACTTGCCACCAACAGCAGCACCTGCGTGCCTGTCAGAGTTGACAGCTCGTATGCCTTAGGGGGGCAGGACGTGGGTAGGGGGGAGCGAGGATACACAAGAAACGCCGCACGGCTTAAAACTATTTAAAAGACAACCTTGATTATTATTTCACTCTGTAATGCCACTAGGGTCACGAGCTAAGAACATTCCTTCCGTCAGTAGGTGCGCGTCTGTGGGGAACACACCGACAAATGTGTAACATTGACATTGATCACCGGGCAAGCAGCACTGTATCGGTATGATCTGTTGACACAAAATACGTGCGCCCGAGTGGCGTGTTGTTTTTTGCGACGTGCACTTGTGTACGTGTTCTTCTGATTTATGTCTTGCGCTGTGCTGTGCGTTTGTTGTGTGCGGCGTCGATCTGTGTGTACTGTGTCTCGCGTACTGTATTGGGTACTGTGTGTGCCGTATCCTGTGTCTTGTGAAGAGCGTTAGGTGCGTTGTGTGCCGTGCATCAATCACAGTCTTTGGTGTCGTGTCCTGTGTCTTGTGAAGAGCGTTAGGTGCGTTGTGTCCTGTACATCAATTACAGTCTTTGGTGCCGTGTCCTGTGTCTTGTGAAGAGCGTTAGGTGCGTTGTGTCCTGTGCATCAATTACAGTCTTTGGTGTTGTGTCCTGTGGCTTGTGAAGAGCGTTAGGTCCGTTGTGTCCTGTGCATCAATTACAGTCTTTGGTGTTGTGTCATGTGGCTTGTGAAGAGCGTTAGGTGCGTTGTGTCCTGTGCATCAATTACAGTCTTTGGTGCCGTGTCCTGGTTTTGGTGTCGTGTCCTGTGTCTTGTGAAGAGCGTTAGGTGCGTTGTGTCCTGTGCATTAATTACAGTCTTTGGTGTCGTGTCCTATGGCTTGTGAAGAGCGTTAGGTGCGTTGTGTCCTGTGCATCAATTACAGTCTTTGGTGTCGTGTCCTGTGTTTTGTGAAGAGCGTTAGGTGCGTTGTGTCCTGTGCATTAATTACAGTCTTTGGTGCCGTGTCCTGTGTCTTGTGAAGAGCGTTAGGTGAGTTGTGTCCTGTACATTAATTACAGTCTTTGGTGTCGTGTCCTGTGTCTTGTGAAGAGCGTTAGGTGCGTTGTGTCCTGTGCATTAATTACAGTCTTTGGTGTCGTGTCCTATGGCTTGTGAAGAGCGTTAGGTGCGTTGTGTCCTGTGCATCAATTACAGTCTTTGGTGTCGTGTCCTGTGTTTTGTGAAGAGCGTTAGGTGCGTTGTGTCCTGTGCATTAATTACAGTCTTTGGTGCCGTGTCCTGTGTCTTGTGAAGAGCGTTAGGTGAGTTGTGTCCTGTACATTAATTACAGTCTTTGGTGTCGTGTCCTGTGTCTTGTGAAGAGCGTTAGGTGCGTTGTGTCCTGTGCAGCAATTACAGTCTTTGGTGTCGTGTCCTGTGGCTTGTGAAGAGCGTTATGCGAGTTGTGTCCTGTACATCAATTACAATCTTTGGTGCCGTGTCCCTGTGGCTTGTGAAGAGCGTTAGGTGAGTTGTGTCCTGTGCATCAATTGCAGTCTTTGGTGCCGTGTCCTGTGGCTTGTGAAGAGCGTTAGGATGAGTTGTGTCCTGTGCATCAATTACAGTCTTTGGTGCCGCGTCTTGTGTACTCTGGTATATGTACTGTACGTTGCGTCCTATGGCTTCCGTACTGTGTTGCACTGTACGCGGTTTCATACGGCTTGTGTATTGCTATGTACTGCTGTGTCCTATGCCCTGTGCACTCTATTCTGTTCGCTGTTATCCTCATGCCTTGCGTGCACGTTCTCTGTGTGTGTGCACTGTATGGTGCTACACGACAGGGTGGGTGTCTCTGGTGAGCTTGCCAGTACCCCGCACCTTCTTCATGATGCCCGTCTTACGCTTGCTGAACGTGGTGTATCGCCTGAGCTTGTTGTCTATGAATGCCATCTTGATCTTCACTCGCCCGCGGGTCTTCTTGCCCGGCTTGAGAGCGACTTCTCCCGCCTGGCTCGACCCCGCCACGACCCCGCCGCCCTCGCTCTCCGCGTCGCTGTCTGCGGACATGTCCTGGTCCACGCCGCCCTGCATCGCAACCCCCTTCCTCCTCCTCCTCCTGGTCCCCGACGTTTCGGGGACACCCCCTCTTGATTTACCCTCGCTGGGCCTCGGGCTCTCGACTGGTTTCGGCGAGGTGGTCGCAGAGTGTTCTCGGGTCTTGGGTGTCACCTTGGGGTCTTCCGAGTCGTTGGGGGGTGGGGGGGTCCCTGCTGAGCAAAGTCCCTGGGGTTCGCAGAGTCTCGGGCCCCTGGTTGAAAGGGGTCCCCAGGGTATCGCGGGCCCCTGGTTGAGCTGAGATGCCCTGCGCCTCAGGGTACCTGGTTGAGATGGGTACCTGATTGAGCGGGGTCCTTGGGGGTGTCCCTCTGTGTCTCGGGGTCCCCGATCGATCGGGGTCCCTTGCTGAGAGGGGTCCCTGTGCGTCTGGGGGTTCCTCGTTGCGTGGTTCCTGGTCCCCGGGTTCACTTCGAAGCGATTTCCTCGCGTCTCAGAAAGGACGACTCACCACCCCCCCAACCACCCCCCTACGCTGTATTCTTGAGCCGCTGAAAATAGTTCGCGCTCGGAAGCCGCCCGCCGTCCCGCGTTCACGCGGGACGGCATCGCGGCTCGGCTCCGGCTGGTGTGGGGGGGTTAGACAGCGTCGGAGGAGGGCGACATCGACGGAGAATTTCGCGCGAGAAAGAACGGGAAAGTGACTTACGCGGAGGGATCGTTCAGCGCACTCCGCCCTTCCTCCATATAAAGGCACGGGGTTTCCTTTTAAGGGAAATCAGGGCCCTTATAGGGAGGGCGCGCGCGTGCCACGCCCATTCTCGCGCGCAGGTTACCATGGGGACCACGGGGTCCCGGGTGCTGGTTGCTGGGGGGAACCCCGTCCAGAGTGGGGGGGGGGGGGGACCCCTGGTGGCATGGATCCCGTGCAGGGTGGGGGGGGGGGGACACCCCCCTTGTGGCATGGACCCCGTGCAGGGTTCGGGGGGGGGGGACCCTGGTGGCATGGACCCCGGCAAGCTGTCGAGGGGACCACGGTTAAGATAAACAGAAGAAGGGGAGAAGGGGACCCCCATACCTGACAACCCCTTGTCAATGCCCTAACTTATTACAGACCGATTCAGAACTTATTGGTCACCCCCGTGCCCCTTATACATCTCAACGTTCATTCTACGAAGTCCCATCGCAGGGAAGAAACACAAACAAATAGACAACATTATTATTTTAATTTTAAACTCAATTTCCATGAATTTCGATTTAAAGCTTTCGTGACTGCACGGATTCATATTCTTGGTTCTTTCGGTAAAGTCACGTCGAAGGGAAATAATCAAATATAATTTTATTATAAAAAAAATAATAAAAGATAATAAAATATTATTTTATTATTTCCCTTCTACGTGACTTTACCGAAAGATCCAAGAATATAAATTTCCCTGCACACGAATACGGGTAAGCCGTATTGGGTTGACAGATCTGGACCCCCCCTCCCTCCCCCTGCTAAAGGGGATCCCCTAACCCCCGTTGAGAAGAAGCACAGATGGGGACCCCAACCCCCGATCGAGGAGATACGGAACCCCCCCTGGTGAAGCGGTTTTACTGAGTGGAGGGGTTGAACCCACTGATGAAGGGGGGCTCGGTAACCCCTTCAGAGGAAACTCGTCTCGGCGGGTGGGCAGCGCCCTCTGCTGTCCCCCCGGTCAACGCCATCGCCTGGACACAAAGCCGTGAACCGTTCCCTTCATTTATACCGAACGTATTCAACTTAACACATTCCTGCGGAGGGAGCTGGTAGGAACGTTGGGTTGCTCGGTCAATGGCCAGGGTCAACGGCGGCGTGGTGTATTCCGCAAATATGCCCGACTGTGAGGGCGGGCACAAGCCGGCGTGAGTAGGTTAAACGTTGAGTTTTATAAGGGCACCACGGGGTGACCAGCCCCTCCCCACCCAGCCCCATCCCTCCCACCCAGCCCCACCCTCTCCACCCAGCCCCTCCCCACCCTCTCCACCCAGCCCCTCCCCACCCCTCCCACCCCCCACCCAGCCCCACCTTCCCCACCCAGCCCCTCCCCACCCTCCCCACCCAGACCCTCCCCACCCTCCCCGCCCAGCCCCTCCCCACCCTCCCCTCCCCACCCAGCCCCACACTCCCCACCCAGCCCCTCCCCACCCAGCCCTTCCCTCCCACCCAGCCCCTCCCTGCACGACGGACACAATAATCCCCTGTGGGCTGGTATAACCAGAAGGTTCCTACCAGTATTATTTCACAGCTCAATTCCACTCGTCAATAAATACTATGCGTGGCCTTAAAATGGGAATAAAATAAATATACACCAAGCGACGTTTCGGCTCATGGCACTTCATTGCTCGAAACGTCACCGATTATATTTTATTATTTTAAGGCCACAGACGTGTTGACGTTGGTTTAACACTTAGGCTTTCGCGACCGATATTATCCATAATAGAAGTTTTTGGAAATAAAAAACCCAAAAAACTCTGATGGATAATATTTTTAATGCGATCTAACCCAAAAACCTCTATTACGAATGTGTTGAAGTTGCTTTGTGATTCGTGCTTTGGCCTACACTTCCGACAAAGCACCAAATAATGTCCTCATTTGATCTATTGGAAAGAGAACAAAAATACCCCTCACGAGGCCGGGTGGTGTTTACCACACCAGGCGGCTGCTCGATCCGAACCGCTTCCACCTCCACTCCCCCCTCAACCTTCGCCTGTGTCAGGGCCAAACCACAAACCCCGCTTCAAGGTTTACCATTGACAGGCACCTTACTCGCTAAAACAAGAAGACGACTTCTTAATGCCTATGCAGGAAACGTGATCAATGACGCTCACACGATAGCTGGGAGCAGGGGTATTTGGTTTGGTTAATATTTTGGCATAGGTAAACAAACACCCATTGTTTACATACAAAAAGAATAAGCAAATGCTTTAGCATTTCTGACAATAATACAGGTGGCTAATACATTTCTGAGGACATTTTTGCGGGTAATTTTTGTTCCGTCTTTCATGCGAATTCCAAGCACGCATCTACACGTGCTTATTTGCACATCTCTCAGTTTTTGTTCCAGTTCTTTAACATTGTACAACTAACGACTACGAAACTAAACATATTTTATATTTTACCAGGTAATGCCCACTGAGCAATACAGCTGTTTGTCCGAAACCACTTGGCCACAAATGATAGCTGAACGAAGTGGCTTATCACGTGGACTCGAAACGCACGCTGATTCTAAATGTGGAGGGGAAAATCGAAGTACCCGGAGAAAAATCCAAGCGATCACGGGGAGAACATTCAAACTCCCAATATACAACAGGCGTCAAGGAGTTGCGATCAAACCCACGACTCCCTGTATACCAGGCGAGGTAATTAACATCTCGCCACCGCGACGCCCCCACGCTGTATCAAATAGGTTTTGTGAAACATTAAAACAGGGCACTTGGGCATTTATGAGGCAAGTGTGAACCACGAGGGCGTTGGAAGCAGCACAGAAGAGCGGGTTCGCTGGATGCGGCAATCGGGCTCGGGGTGGCGTGAAAGGTCGACGAGTTTCCCCATCTCGGTAGAGATCGAAGTCGCACCAGGGCAAAGTGTATCTTTTCTCCGATTGAGGGACATTTTTGGAGCTCTGCTACTGAGCCAGGGCTTCAGGGTTAAGGTTTGGGTTAAGGGGTCATCCAGCCGTGGATTGGTCATGGTCTCATGCTGATCAAAGTTGAAAAGACCACGGAATCGCCTTTGACCTGGGAATACGAGATGGGTTTCATGGTGCAGTTGTAGAGGCAGTGATGGACACGAGGTGGCGCACACACCGCCCGAGTCAAGAAATGGAACTTGAAACGGATGCCGCTGATGTTGCTGCCGATGCTCCTGAGAGTGACAGTGGCCAGCAGTCTCCACCTCCACCTTAGTCCAGCTTCACCTCCTCGACGTGATCCTAAACCACTCCTCACACCTCCCTTCTCCACTTCCGTAACGATGAAAGCAACATTTCTTTTTTACCATCGTAAGGGGCCGTCCATAAATGACGTCACGCACCTAGGGGGGTGGGGTCAGACATTTGTGACGATGTGTGACGAGGGGGGGGTTGAGAAATGTGACGTCACATAAAAATGCGCAACTTTACATAAATATACACAACACGTTCTACTTAATTAAATAGATTTTTTAATAAATGTTTTCTCCTACAACATCAGAGTGCAGCGCCACATTAAACACGCACTGCAATGACAATAGTTTAAAGCGATTTGAAGCATGTTTTATTTTCAAAATAGAAATATGGTTTTGGAGGGGGGGGGCAGAGCTTTGTGACGTCACATTTGAGGGGGGGGGTCTGACTTTTTGTGACGCCGTGTGACGAGGGGGGGGGGAGTCAAAAATCGTCCAAAGTCGCGTGACGTCATTTATGGACGGCCCCTAATGAATGTGACGACGCCTATATGGTTGCACAAAAAAGACAAAAAAAAACACGCGATTCGATGCGCGTCTCGTGAGGTTTTACAATCTCAAAATGTGCACACAGTTGGAAAACCGGGAGCAGTGGTGCGCCCCGAACCCCGGCGAACGTCAGTGGCGAGTGATACCTGAACAGGTCGTGAGTCATCCCGTCTTCACCAACTTGCACCCAAGTATGGTCGATGATGGTCAAGCAATTCCCCATTTTCGACACGGCCTGGGAGAGCCCTTCATCCAGTCGTGGTGGATTGACAAAGGACTGTAAATTATTTCTAATATGATAACCAATGGGTCGGGTCGTGCTCGTGGTGCAGTGGTTATCATACTGCGCGATCAGCCCAGTCCACCGAAGATCGATTCCCAGCTCGGGCCAAAAAATATTTCCTACGTTCTCAGCCAACCGTGGAAATTCTCCCTTTTTATGACGAGGACCAGTATATCCACATGAACACGACTGCTGGCTTCCTCTTTTGATGATGAGGATTATATTGCTTGCTTCTTTATATCGGTTATGAAAAGGCAGTGGCTCTGGATTACGATACCACGGGGATGTTGGTAAGGAATACAAATCTCAAGTTGAAGAAGCCGTCACTGGCAATGCTCTTGATGACACCATACGCCGCCTTCGCTTCCTTCTGTCTGCAATACCCTTCTGCGCGTTGCACAGTTGTCGCCTGTCCTCAACGGTCAAGGTTTTATTTGACGCTTTATTATAAAAATGGGGTGTCGCGCTGGTGAGATGTTAAATACTTCGCCTGTTATGTAGAAGGTCGTGGGATCGACCCCGACCTGACGCCTGTATATTTGGAGTATGCATGTTCTCCCCGTGGTTGCGTGGGGTTTTCTCTGGGTGCTCCGGGTTTAGACGTCCACATTTAGAATCAACACGCGTTTGGAGTATTTGGCTGCTATAAATTTCCACGTGATAAGCCACTTCGTTGAGCTATCATTTGTGGCCAGATCGCTTCTGAACAAGAGCTATTCATAGCTCAAGAGGGCCTTACCTGGTAAAATAAAATATTTGAGTTTAAATAATAGTTCTCTCTCCCCACTCCCCCCGCTCTCCATATTATTTGTTCAATGCCTGGCTTTTTAAGACTTTGCACCATGAAACATTTGCTGATGTGTGCATGTGCTGTTTGGGTATATTTACTCCATCCAATGTCTCCGCGTGCAAAAAAGACGCCTGTTCTCAACGGACTCTTAGTAAATATTTGTCATCATAGCCAGC